CATACATATATATATATATATACCTACGCACGTAAGAAGGATAACAATTGAACCCTGACCCTCAATTGACAATATATGCTCATTTCGCAGTAATAAAGATAACATTAAAAACCGACACATTCGACATCTATTTTGCAAGAATATAAAGATAATTATCCCGTCATTTGTTTCTATACCTTTTTTGACGTCGTCGAGTTCCCAGATGGACGGGGCCAACGAATGCGACAGGTTTTCATACACGAGTGGGTCCGCCGCAATGCGTTTAAACTCGTCTATATAAAAATTAGAAAAAATATATTTAAAAAAATAAAAAAATAACACCGACACAAAAACAGTGGAGCTTAGGACTTAACGAACCGAGCTTGGCCATAGTGACGGCGTCGACGGCGTTGGCGTCCTTGAAACCATCCACGCCTTGGTTGTACAGTTCGTCCACCTTGCGGAAGTGCACCACGTCCACATATGTTTTGAAGACGGATTTCACCACGCGCTGCTTGACGGTGGCGCGCAAAGGCACGGCGCGGAAGATGCCTGTAACTTGGATCTTGTCGCCCGGCCGGACGTCGTCCACGAGGTCGTCAAAGCAAAACAGCATCACCTATTGTGCTTTCGAGTGAAATTTCATTGTGTTGTGGTTTCTCGTTGGTATTGAAATCGATTGGATTGGCTACCTCCGATGAACTCAAAATTATTAGCCAATCAAAACCTTGTAAATGAAATTCAACCAATCAGATCGATTGTGGATCGGTTTGGTTGGCTCGATTATTCGATTGCACCCCCTCCCCAAATTTGTATCAAATCGACAATACCAAGAATAGTAATAACTTTGTATTCTAGTGAATAAAACTCGAAAACAACAATACCGCCACCATAAATATATATATATATATATATATATATATGGACGCTGCGACGGGGGGTGGAATACTATGATTTTATTCATGTGGTGTTTATTCTAAACTGGAGCGAAACATCAACACAACCAAATACATGTACACAAGAAGCGACAGAAATATTGAGCCAATCAGATTGCAGAAAACCATCGTCAACATCGAATTCGTATGTGTGACTCGTTCATAAGTATGATTGATTCGCATCACCACAGGGCATTTTTTTACATACAAAATTCAGTAGACAAAAAATCGATCGATGGATTTGGCGAATCATCTAAATTACGGGTAAAAAAACAATATTAATATTGTTGTGAATAGAGCACCATATGGACAATACAATGGGTGGAACTATTATTTTATTCATGTGGTATATATATTTATATATATACAACCATAAACAAAATGGACACCAACATTAGGAGATGATACAAATAGAGGATTGGTAGATAGGTGAATGTTGCAATCCTTGGGATATTATTTCACTACGACGTATGAAGCCCAAAGCAGGGCAACAAAGCAATAGAATTTCCGATTGCATCGAATAAATATAAGATATTTCTAAAAACATCGATTATTATATTTATCATAAAGTAATAAAAAAAGATACTTCTAAAACTTGGATTGTTGAGCTCACAGTAAAGAAATCCAAATAATAAAAGGCATATTATTTTAGTATACCGTGTACGGGGTCTCGCCTTCGGGAATGGCGTCGGGGGTTTCTTGCATCTTGACGAGCTGTTTGTCTGTAAACGCACATCGATTGTGCATGATTTCCATCGAGTTGCGCGACTGGCAGTTGGTGCAAATCTATTGAAAAATAATAATAACATTTTAATACGAAGTCTCAAACCATTTCTATATATATATATACATTTATCCGTCAATATGGACTTTCAACAAATGCATATTTCGAATGTTCTAGCCAATCAAAGCAAGCACTCATGCAAATGTTCAGCCAATCGTTGATCAACATTGTGTTTTGACCACGTCGCCGTTTTTGGCCAAATATATATACAACAACTAAAAACAATACAAATTGGCCCTAAATGTGTATAACCCATCCTTCCATCATACATAAAATAAGAAGAAGCTTCAACACTTTGGACTCGAATATTCTAAACTGGAACGATATGGAGAATAAATAACCAAATAAATGTACACAAGAATCATCGGCAGAAGGATTGAGCCAATCAGATTGCAGGAAACCATCATTAATGTCCAACTTGAGTGTAACTTCCATTGGTGTGATACCAATCGCCACAGGACAACTTTTAATATACAAAGAATTGATCGATGATGGATTTGGCGATTCAGCACAAAAGTCAGCCAAATTTTGGGTCAAAGGACAATATTGATTGTCGAAAATCAACAAAAACCCAGTAAATTGAGCAAAATATCTATCTATATTTACGACATACCGACGGTTCGTCGATCCGACCGCGGTCCAACTCGACTTGGACGTCTGTATGACAGGTGGTACATCTAAAAAAGGCCATTTTCAGGTCTGGAATCACCGCCGAGCACCGCGTGATCATGCCCTGGAGGGACACGAGCTGATCAATGTCGCTTGGGTTGAGGTTGCGCATCGCCTGGACTTCCTTCAGATTGAACGGGCGCACTTGAATGCGAGCCTAATATAAGTGGGTGAATTCAAAACTGGAGCAATTTCTATTTATATGTACTTTTGACACTACCAAACAATGTACTACATACAGAAGAACAAGAACGAGTTGGTCAATCACTAGACCATTCTTTTTTATATTTCTTTTATATACGAAATTCCATACAAAAACAATCGATATATCGATGGAAAATCCAACCAAATCGGCACAAAATATTTTTTTTTAAAATAAAGAAGATTTTAAATGTGGTGCGATAGTAGAAATTAAAAAACTTTGTTTTTTTATGCTACAGGTGGAGGTTGATCCTGCATTATTTCGACATTTATTCTGGTTTTTAGGCTCACTTTTGGCTGAAATATGGACAATCATACAAACATCATCCATCGTCTTCCCATAGGTGTAGTAGGCCATGTGTTCGAGTTGTGGATTCAGTAGTACTCGAATCGAATCACGAATGTGTCGACGCTATTGGCCAAAAATCCAATTTTGAGTAGATTTGATTGGCTCTTACAGAAAGGGGGACAAGTATATTCAACCAATCAGAACTCGATCGTGATTCAATATTGATTCGACAAACCACACGCGAGTTTTAAACGTTTTTAGCAAATTCACATCTTATATATACATATATATATATATATACATATATATTCACGATATAAATAAGTAATACATATATATATATACACATATATATTCACGAAATAAATTATATATATATATACATATACATTCACGATATATACATATACACTTTGTACCGCGTCGGGTTCGTGGGGGAACATGGTTTGGTACGCTTCTTGGACGACCATATCGAGAATACGCACGAGCACTTGAGGAAAATGAAGCAGCTGGGTGTACAAGCCCTTGGTGTCATCCTGAAAATGGAGCAAATGCTGGCAATCCAAGTTGAACACGCCGTCCTGGGTCAACTGGATCTGCCGAAGCACCTTGCGGTAGTAGCTCTCGTCCGCGCCGGCCAGTTGCGCGGGAACAAACTCATGGAGAAACGTCCTAAAGACGCGCATGCTGTCGGCCACGTTGACGTTGGTTCCCCACACGACCGCGTTCGAGTACGACTGCTCGGCGGTGGGCGGCGCGGCCATGTCGACGTCTTCCGCGGGACGAAGGCTGGCGCTGGCCGAGCCGGGGGACGCCGGCGCGGCGGGGAGGTGCGGGTGGCGACCCGACATGGGCGACGACGGCGGGCTGTCAGCAGTTGGAGCGATGACCCGGAAGGGAGCTGCTGGCAGGTCCAAGCGGACCTGGGACCGACCCAGATCCCCTCGAGGAAGCGGCCGGTTCAACCCGACGTTGATGTCGCCCTCCGAGTACCGCCCTAGGTACCGCGGCATGGGCGTCGCATCGATGGACGCTGAGAAATCTTGTGGCGTGTAGTGAGGATGGTGATCCGCGGTGGCTGAAATCGACACGGACGGTTGGGAGAACGAAGATGGCGACGGTGGGGTCGCGGGAGCGTTGCGCATGATGGCGGCATGGTGCTGCTGCTGAGTTGATTCCAAAGGAGAGAGTGGGCTCGACGGTGGGGTGTCTGGAACAGCCAGAGCCGGACGCAACGGACTCGAAGGCGGCGTATTGGGAACACCGCCCAGGGCTGGTCGTAATGGACTCGACGCCGGTGTCGATGGAAGTGGTAGAGTGTTCACGTGTGCTTCAGTCGCCCCAATCGGACTTGATGGAGGTGTATGGGGAACACCAGTCAGTACTGGTCGTAAAGGGCTCGACGGCGGTATCGACGGAAGTGGAAGCGTGTTCACTTCGACTTCATTGGACGCAATCGGACTGGACGGCGATGTGTGTGGAACACCAGCCAGGGCTGGTCGTAAAGGGCTCGACGGTGTCGATGGGAGCGGAAGTGTGTTCACTTCGGCTTCATTCGACGGAATCGGGCTGGATGGTGGTGTGTGCGGAAGCGGCAAGGTGCTTGGCACATCCTCTGGCAGCGGACTTGATGGCGGCGGCGTCGACGGCGGCAGTGGTGGTGTGGTGCCCGTACCGTCCATGGCACTTATTGTGGAATATCCTTATCCGGATAGCCATCTTCCCGCCAAATTATTTGTCCGGTAAATACCCGACAATATACCCGACAGACAGACAGATTGCCTCATTTTCAAAATCGGACAAGGGACGACGACGGGAAGATTGCGCGCGGAAGGGAGTTGCAAGTTGCAGCAATGACATGGCACAAGAATGAATGGAACATGCATGTAAGTCTGGCGAAAGCGAGGAAAGGTGCATAACGTGACAACGTTCGTGCCTCGTAGATGTGCATGTGGTGTCGGGCGTGTACTGTATTCACAAACCAACCCCGCGCCAGAAAGTGCGCATGGTCACCAAGGGCTAAATAACTTGTAGCCATCGATTGCATGAACGGGTTCCATGAATGAACCGTACGTGTCATGTGACGAATGACGAGAGATCTGTTTAGGGTTCCATTAGAGAATACCATCCCAAGATCCAAGATGGAGGCACGCAATCATGCAGAGTTATATTTAGTTGTGCTTCGGGTGAGTTGGATTGGCGTCCGTCATTTCCACATTCAAGTCGTCGCTAGCCATGGTGCCTGAGAAACAATGGCGTGACAAGGGGGATATGATGGACAAGCGGTACGTCCTCCATGTCCATATGTCGTTGTGGCGAGTGTCTCCATGCTGCATCTGTAGGACGGCACGCAAGGTCCACGGCGCGGATTTCCGAGCAGTGATCTCACAGTTGCGACGCGACTTGGCCAGTCCAAAGAACCAAGAACATTCCGACGACGACGGACCAGAATCATCTTCCGAATTGGGTGGCATGCAAGTGTTCATCCGCAAGCGGCCGATGCTCGCCCACGAGCCGAAAAAAAAGGAGTACGACGTCGTCTCGTGTGCCGGGAACCGTACGATTGTCGTGCACGACTGTCAAATGTATGCGGGTATGTGTATCTCTCGTATCCCGTCGATCATTTCCATATCCTCATTGCTCATGCTTGGCAGACATGAAGCGCAAGTTCATCGACAGCCACGTCCACACGTTCTCAAAGGTCTTTTCAGAAACGGCGACCACGGACGACGTGTTTGATCACGTGGCGAAGCCCCTCGTGGGCCATGCCATCGCCGGCGGCAAGTCTGTCATCATGATGTAAGTACGGCGCCAATTGTTGTCCTTGAAACCCAGAAGCCACGTATGTGTACTTTGATTTCTAATTGGTGGTGCTATAGGTATGGACAGACCGGGTCGGGCAAAACGCACACCATGTCGGGATTGCACGAGGTATATTGAAAAATATTTTTGTTTGTGGTTGTTATATTTGTAATATTTTTTAAAATGATTTTAATTGTTATTTGTAAAGAGTTGTTATTTGTAAAGAGTTGTTATTTGTAAAGCGTATATCATATATATGTGCCTAGAGATGGACTTGAACCAGATTCTCAGTCTTTTACGCTACCCAACACATCAATTACTCATAGTTTCCCTGGTTGTCGCTGCCAATAATGAGATATTTTTGTATATTTATTCATAATTTAAGTACATAATATATATATATATGTCTCAAGGCGGACTCGACCCACCGACACAAAATGATTTTTTTCAGTCTTTTACTCTAACCAACGGAGCTATTATTTATTTATTGCTCATAGTTTTCCTGGATTTTGCTATTTTGCTGGCAGCAATGAGATAGTTTGTATATTTTTGAAAGATTTAATTGTTATTTAAATATATATATATATATATATATATATATATATATATCACCGAAACAAGCGACGTTTCAGTCTGTTACTTTACCAATGGCATAGCTTCCCTGGTTGTTTCTGGCAGCTATGAGAATATTTGCTACACGATTCTCTCTGCAATGTCTGTCTATGGATACTTTGATCAAATGGCTGGACGTTTTCTTGTAGCACATGGCAGACATGCTCTTTCCAACCAACAACAAAGCAACGTCCAGTCAAATCGTGGTGGTGACCGCCGTGGAGATTGCAGGCGCGAAATGTGTTGGTAGTACATATACCAGGAACTTTGTTTTGATTTCGTTGTTTAAGTGGTGGTATTTTTTGCTGTTGTTGGTTAGATCTGCTGCGTCGGCGGCAAAAGGTGCTCGTGTGCGACGACGAAGCAGGCAACAGCCGGCTCTTGAACGTCGTGGAGCGGGACGTGTCTTCCGCGGCAGCGCTGCTGTCGACGATCCAAGATGCTCTGGACATGCGCGCCACCGAAGCCGTACGTTGATCGTCGCTACTCTCATTCTGAATGGACATGGAGTAGACGGCGGTGAATGCCGTGTCGTCTCGGTCGCATTTCCTCTGCTCCATCACGATCAAGGACGCCGCCAGCAGCAGTAGTAGCCACAGTCGGTCGTCGTTGAAACAACCGCCGCGACCGTCGGGGGGCGTGCTCACCCTGCTGGACCTCGCAGGCAGCGAGCGCAACGAAGATTCGTTCCACCACTCGGCCGACCGACGTCGAGAGACCATTGAAATCAATTCAAGCCACCTCGCCCTCAAGCAGTGCGTGCGGGCGCTTGGCACGGAGGACGCCAACGGGTTCGTGCCGTATCGGCAGTCCATCTTGACGCAACTGCTCAAACACTCGCTGTGGGCCAAAGGCTCCCGCGCTGCAGTCATTGCCACCGTCTCCCCCATCGCCACCGGTACGTACGTACGCTAACGTTAACAACGTGTTCTATTGTCCTTGAACCGATAATTTGGATTTGTGTGTGCTGATGGAATACTGTACTTGTACTAGTATGTAAAACGGTGTGCTGTGGGGATGGCAATCACACTAATCGAAGTTACACACTAATTGGAGGTTGAAGATGGTTTCCTGCAATCTGTTTGCCGATTCTTGTGTACGCCCCAGTTTTTTTTAGTTTAGAATACACATTACAACAATATCTGGACTTGTTTCTTGTGCTATGATCATGACGTACTAGTGTACGTGGTTATCCCTGGCTCATACAGTGTATGTCGTTCTTTAGATACCGAGCACACATTGCATACGTTGCAATACGCGGCCATGATGTTGTCGGACGACAAGGGACTCATTCGCAAAGACAAAGTCGAAGTGCCCACGGCGTCGGAAGAATCCAAAGCCAAGGTATGACTACAAACAACTTGACATCACATTTCCCTATTGAAACATAAGCATGTGTTGATGTTGTATTTCGCATTATTGTTAGGCCATCAAGGACTGGGACGTGGAAGAGGTAGCGATGTGGTGGTCAGCGTTGAAGCGCGGATTGTACGCGAAATACACGGCGAATGTCAAGTCGATTGACGGCAAGCAGCTGCTTCGTCTGGGGCTGCCACGCGTGATTCAGCTGTGCAACAACAACGCGATCGACGGAGACGCCGTGTTCAAGTGCTTGCAAAAGGAAAAAGCCACCGACGACAGGGCCGACAAGGAACGGCGCGCGCGCAACACTGCTGTCCGCAAAAACAAATAGCACCCAAACTTCCAACCAATATTGATCTTTTTCGGGCTCGAATGTAATCTCTTGTAAACTTATTGTTTGACAGAAAATACACCGAGCTACTTATGGTGTTTCTACTATATTTTACCATATATATATATGGTAAAATTTAGTAGAAATATGGCATATATATATATATATATATATATATATGGTAAAATATAGTAGCCAAAAGTATATATATGCAAGATAAAAATATATACAACTATTAATACTGGTACGGCTGCTCCAGGGGTTTTTTGCGCGAGAATGCTTGCTTTCGTCGAATCTGTTGTCATTTACGATCAACAACCATCTCAAATGGACGCCCCCTTTCGAGACCTTTTTCGACGTTAATGCGATGTTTGTACCACCACCAAACCAAGTACCGCGATTGTCCTTTCAACCTAAATTCGGTATTTTCGGTAGATTCGACAAACGACGTGATAATCTACCTGAAATCGCCGAGACGTCGTCTTACTTAACTAAATATACTCCCTGTGAATCGTGCTGGATACAATATTGACTGTAAACTGTTTGTGAAATGGAGAAACTTGGCAATGCACCAGATACGCCTACGATTTGATTGGTCGAAAGGTTTGTATTCGACAATTTCATTGGCTACTTCGGTGCGTCGATTACTGCGTCGATTCGATTGGCCATTTCGAAATCGAATTACCAACATTGTCAAATCAGTCTAATTTGGAATTCCGAGTCCAAATCTAATGGACTTGACCAATGTATTTGAAAATGTCCTAGCCAATTATAGTGAAATTGATTGGAATAGTTTCGCCAAACAGTTTGGCCCAGTCAAAATGTTCATCTTCAAATATGTCTATCATACATTGTATAAGCTTAAAATCTGACTCAAATCTATTCTGTCAAGTAAATTTTCGGCGAAAAGGACAAAAATACCATGTGTGATTGATTGGGAGAGAATTAATATTATTCAACATATTATGCTTTGCCTCGATTTTCGGGCAATAGTATCAAAAGTCGAGTACTTTTCAGATTCGGGTAAAATCTGAAATATCGGCTCCTCGTATCAGAACAACTTGCGCCGACGACGATCGATAATTAAATATTTTAAGTGCTACTACTAGATATTCATTCCTATTTTTGCTGTACGTGAGGTTATACCCGTGGGGAGCATCCGCGTCCTCCAAGCACCGCTGCGCACGACCATGTCGAGTACATGAGGAGGGTACTGGTCACAAGCAGCAGCGTGAGCCCCCCCACCCCCCCCACCACGACAGCCGTCCACCCGAGCACCCGACTGCGGCCGCCGCCCCGCCGCCACACTTGGGCTTCGATTTTCGAGCCAGGGAGCCACACTAGACTAAGCAGCACCCCAAACCCGCCCAGAGGGCTGAGACAGATCAAGTCGCCGATTTGCATTTCGACATTAGTGACCGTTGTCGGCTGCGCGTCGAACCGTTCCAGCACCGCACGTTGGACCGAGCTAAACGCGGCCGTGGCCACAGGCATAGCCATCAGCTGCATGGACATGGCGAGGCTCGCCATCGTAGCTTCATAACCCATGGGAGCCAACTCCACCACGGGCAACATGCTGACGAGGTGGCGGATACCGTGGGGAATCTGCACGAGTACGAGCACACCGTACCAGAACCATGGCGCCCGACACGTTCCGTACACAGTGTACGAGGCATGCAACGTTCCCAAGACGCCAATAGCCAGGGTGGTCGATGTCATGGCAAGCTTCCAAGTCGGCTTCGTGGAGCCGCCGCAGGATGTTATTCCAAAGATGGCCATGGCTATAGCAAACACAACGGCGCCGAGTACAACGACGACAAGAACAAGACGATGGTCGTGGGGATGGGGGATGGTCGTGCCTCCAGTGCGTAGCCACGTCTGTTCGACATTTACATCGAGCACGCGGCGCTTGAATTGAGAGGTGCCGCCGCTGCCGACGTGGACGGCGAATGACGACACGAACGAAAAAAGCAGGAAGGACAAGATGGCTTTGGATTGCAGGCATGTCCACAGCGCCAGGATGCGATCCAACACGGAAGAAGGAGGGGGGGAGGAGGATGGAAGGGGGGGTGGTGGTGGTGGGGGGGTGTAGAGGAACCACACAAACAACGTCGACACGGCCGAGAGCATGGCCAGGCTGTAGAGAAACCCGAGGTAGGTTGGGTCATGGGGCGTCCACTGCGTGGAGACGGACCCCTCAAGCACCCCCACGTACACTTGGGACAGCGCCAATCCGATACCCTTGGACGCCATGACGATGGATTGAGTCTTTCCTCGGGAATGGAGAGGTTCCCGCTGGGCGAGTTCCACCATGAGCCCATCCCCAGCGACGTCAGTTAATGTTACGCCTAGGCTTGCCACGAGCATGAGGACAAGGGACGCCTCGTGGAGGGCGGAGGTTGAAAGCAGGATGGCAGACAAGAGAAACGATAGGAATGCGACGGACCACCCGATCAACATGTACGGCTTTCGATGGGAGCTGTAGAGGGGACACAGGTCGCTCAACACGCCAAAGAAGAAGCGAATGGATGCGGGAAACAGCATCACGGGTGACCACACCCCGAATATCGGGGAAAACAACGGACCCAGCAGCGGCGCCACGGTCGCCACGCGGACGTCCGAGGACAAGATCGTGGAGGGAAGCGCGCCGAGCATAAACCCCACGAAAAGCGAGCCGAGCACAAGACCACAGTGGGATCGATCCCAGAGCGAGATGGCACCGCCTGGACGCAACGCGCCGTCGCTATTGCCTTGATTGCAGTGGAGGCGATCGTAAAGATGACGCATGGTAGCACTTGGCGTGTTGCTGGTGGGAACACCAACGATATCTCCATGGGACGGCCGGTCTCCTTCTAAAGGTCGGAGGAGTAAATCACTCACCTCTTTGGTGGGTGTGAACGGGAAGAAAGGCGTCCACGTTGGCATCGACACGTCTCGACATTCAGACGGTGGCGGCGACTGCGCTGGCAGCACTGCACGGGATGTTTGTACATCCACGTAGGTGGGAGACGGGGCTGCATACGTGCTTTCCATCCCACCAAGGTGTTTCCCAGGCTGGTGGATGCGCTTCGTGAGCTGACCCACGCCCAGCATGTTGAGGCAGAAAATGGGCAGAGATTCAGTGGAATTTCAGCCAATCGGAGCTCGTCATTTGAGTACTTACAAAAGCCAAGTGAGAGTACACTGTAACGGAGATGGTCTTACTTCGAAGTAACGTTAATTAAAAACACAAACATGAAGCTTCATTCACAAATCGATCTGAAATACACTTCGTAGTAGGTCAATACAATTTGACCTATTTCAGATCGATTTAACGTTACAGTGGAATTCAAAACTTGCGAACCAAATACTAGTAACAAGGTGAAACAGTTTTAAAACCAACTGTTTCTCCTTAGGAATTCTGCATATGAACAGTCCAAGCATCGTAATTTATGTCTACTCATGTCATTACGTTAGAACGTTAGGTACAGTATGCGTCATCGCATCATCAGACGTAACTTATCCAAGGAACTACCGTATTCTGCACCATGAAATACAAAACGCGAATATAATTCTATAATTCAATACTATCTTGAATCAATTATTCCATTCGAATATTTAAATAAATTCTTTAAATTTAATTTCATGCCATTCCGTGACCTGTTTACAGTTAGTTAACTACCATCCATTCCAAGCAATTTTGAACAATTTGCACACTAACATAAAATGCCAATGTATGACATACAACTTTCATTTGATTTTGAAAAATGGGATATATCTCCGCCCTTGCTTTATAATTTTCGAATTCTAAAAAGTCTTAAAGGTAGAGAATTCCCTGGTGAACACTCCACGATTAATAGTAAGGTCTTCTGGTATCGGACAAGGCTTGGATTCGAGCGACATGGAGAATGTATCGACACAACCAAATGTACTGTACAGTACAGGAGAAACGGCAGATGTATTTAGCCAATCAGATTGCAGGAAATCATCGTCAACGTCGAATTAGTGTATGACTACAATATACTTCGTAGTACTACAGTACTGCGAAACGTTAGTATTATACAAAATTCAGTGTAAAGAATCGATCGATAGATTTGGCGATTCACTACAAAAATCCAAATATTGGCTGATATTAACTGTAAATTGAATGCTAGTACCAGTATCCAACCTTTCGATACACAGTAAATTCAGCACCTGCACCCAGACAAATTCTGGTAGGACAATATTTGACTGTTGTCAAGTGGGCGCAGTTTGTACGGTGTTGCGGTGTTGTGTCACCCTCACTTCTGAGGGTATATCCGCTTCGGTACCTGGCCAATCAGGGACCACCTCATAGCTAGTCAGTAGGGTGTGGGAAGCCCCAACACCACTCATCTTAATCCACTCTTCATTTCTTCCTGTCGTGCGTCTTGTCCTCCTGAACATTTCGCTCTACTTGGTCGTTACCCTCGGACTCGTTGACCCACCTTCCTCTTAAGTGCTTGGGCCTACTTTGCCCCGCTGAACAGGTTATGAGCCCTCACTCAACTTCTGGGCCGCTGTACAATGAACCTCTCCTGGACGACCACAATCGTACGTTCCTTGAATGGAAACCGCTGTTTATCAGACAGACTGATGGCCATCAGTTTACTCAGTTCTATATCAACAAGGCTTATATGCCTTCTGATCTTGAGCGGTCTATTTTGAGCATTCTCGACAACGACGCTCAAGTCGTCAAGTTGAAGCACCTTGAGCTGTACCATGACGATCCCGACTTGTCTGAGGACGGCCTCGCAGTGCGGCACAAGGTTATCGCTGACCACGTCCAATCAGTGAAGAGCGCACTGGCGCTGACGTTCCTTAATTCCTCCATGGTGGACTCCCTGTGGAAGATATACTCCAACATCGCTTGTCCCTTTACTCTTTATGAGTCTAGTGTGTCACGATTTGAAAATAATCCTCTGACTAGCGACCATACGGTACGTAGCCGTACACCGCGGCGGTGACGACCACAATCGCACTTGGCGCGATGAAGGCTATCGAGGCCACAGCCGCCGAAGCATTTCACCGACATCCTAATCTGGTAGTCCATGTCGCACTCAAGTTACGCCCAACTCCGCTAGTCATTCCGACTGTCCTCATGTTCCGTCATCAATTGTCATCGAGAAGGGTGTCGTAGCGCCCAACTCCGGTGATCATGTCGATACCCCAGGTGGTTTGCATCGTAGCTGCCGTCACGTTGATTTGTCATCTGATATCGTTATTGCCCTTGTGTGCACTGCCTCCGTGTTACTTATCAATCGTGCTGGTAGTCTGTCCTGTCGTGACGCTGTTGATCGTGGTGCTACTCTTAACCGTCGTGACCAGGCTCCAATTGGCACCCGCTACAGGGCGCACAATCCCCTGCTACATGGTCGACTTGGTCATGTGGTTACTACTCCACCTACACCTCCCAGTTCTAGTCGTCGTGTGGACCGAGATGAACATCACCGACCCTCGAAGCGTGTACTCCACCACCGCCGCATCCCCAGTGTGACGCCGGCGCCCCACATTCCATTTTTGACCAAGTTATTCCTCCCACCGCTTGTGCGGATATGACAACTGATCGTCATCCGGATGCATCGACGCTAATCCATGTGGTCGTGGCTGCAAACAACCAGTGTGCCTATACTTCTAGCCCTGGAAATCGTGATATCCCCTCCTCCGCGGTCTACCCCCTGGCAAGTTTGTTGCTCTTTCTGAGCACACAGGCGCTCGTGCACCGCGTACCAGGATTATTTTTTCTCCTAAACCTATGTGCCTTTCGCGCTATCGCTTACTGTTGGCCACTGGGGTCAAAGCTCCCCGTAGTTGGATAATTCTCCATTTCTATGGAAAGGCTTATGTCTGCCACCGACATCACGCTTCCCATACGTTCGCGGGCCACCCATTACAAAGGCACAACCATCTGTATGATGTCTACGAGACATTTCACGTCGCATCAATGTCGATGTTCAAATCCGACATTGTGGCCCTCGATCACACTCAACCCACCGATATCGGTACGCTACAAAGTGATAATGCCAATGAATACGCGAAATTAGCGCGTATTATTATGCCGAAGTACCAAACTCGAGTTACGTTTTCGAACGCATAGCCCCCCACTCAAAACGCAGTGGCCGAGCACCGTATCGGCCTCGTCGTCCGAAAGATGCGAGCTCTGCTAATCGAGAACTCACTTCCGAAGTTCCTCTGGGCTACTGCCCTTGAGTATGCCTAACAGCCTCATGGCTCCTGAACATTACCCCGTCAATATCCAACAACGGGAAGTCTCCATACTTCAAAGTGTTTAATACACACCCAGCTTTGAGCTATATATAAACCATTGGTTGCACCGCATTTGTCCATATACAAATTGCTGCACATCCCTCGAAGCTCGACCCACGAGCACTGAAAGCCATGTTTATTGGCCTGCCCGGCAATCGCAAGGGTTATACGATGATGAATTTGCATTCACATGCGCGAACATATTCGCGGGATGTCATGTTTGGGAGTCTGACAATTCCCCGCCGTTAATTCCATTAATGCGGCTGCCGACTAACGAAGACGGGTGGCTAGCGACCCCAACCCAACTTCGTTCCCACCCTCGAACCTAACGCTCCACTCCCCCCACTGCATTCCATCCTGGATGATGCCCCAACATTTATGTTCTGGGTCAGCCGGTGGCAGCATTGCCCCCCGTACATACATCGTTGGTGGTTGCCCCAAGTGATTTATTCATCAAGCACACATCCATCTCAGTCTATACAGCTATGGACAACTACTAACACTTCACCTGTTTCAAGGACTTGTACGGCTTTTTCCGTCGTCGAGCCCTCCATTCGACCCCACTCATTTCACACTGGCCAGTCATTTTGTCCCGAGGTTATCCTCCCATCCCCCACAGTTGTATCATCAACCAACAGTCACACTTCTGTCCTTCGACTCTAAGCTGTGTACTGTCACGACGCCACCGTTGACACACCAATGCGTTGAGCTCTAACAACAATGTTAGCACCCATCGCTTCAAGATTGAAATCTGGATGTGTATCATCCCACTGTGTACCAGATTGTCTGGACTCATTAAGTGTATATACTCTTCTGGCTGAACGCGCCATTTCAAAAACGAATCCTGACCCTCAGGACTGGCGAGAAGCCATGGGTCGTGATGACCACCAAAAGTGGCTTGATGCCGCCAAGGACGAGTACAATTCTCTGTTGTCTAACGGGACGTACGAACTCGTTCGTCGTGACCCCACTCTGACAGTCCTTCGATGTCGTTGGGTCTTTCGTATCAAGCCTGGGGGTATATATAAGGCACGCCTTGTAGTCAAGGGATTTATGCAACAACATGGTGTCGATATATGCACCAGTCGTGCGACTCGAAGTACTACGATTTCTCTTTGCCCTTGTCGCGAATATATAATTTGGAATGCCACCAAATGGACGTGAAAATAGCCTTCTTACAGTAGTCGAGAGCATCCACGACCCTTTTTGTGCTTGTATTTGAGGTTCTAAGAACAAATATATGCAATTCAGTAGGCATACGCAGTTTTTCTCAGTGAATTCGATTCTGCCATTCAAATACCTTGATTTCACTTTACTTTTCGAGTAATGGTCGAAATACCTTTCAAATGTCGCATGCAAAAATCGCATAACATTATACTTCGAAGTATATTGTAACCTTGAGTTGTAACGGTTACACAATTATTTAAAATGGTCAAATCAAATACAGAACTTAAGTGTAAAAGAATGCTCTATTAAAATGAAAACTGTTAAGAAGATATTAATATTTTTAATAAAAAAAATAGAATTGGTCGTGGATGGTCTCGACCACTGTTAAATGGCACCATCCATGGGCTGTTAAATGGCACCATGGGCTGTGACGTCTATATGGAACAACCCCCTGGATCGTTGATTGATCTGATGTCTCGCCGTGACTTCGTATGTCATCTCAAAAAGAGCTTATATGGCCTCAAACAGGCCCCACATTTGTGGTACTGGACATTCGTAGAGTTTATGCTCGCACATGGCTTCTCACGCCTTCACAAAGACCGTTGTGTCTTCCTCAAGATTGATCAGTTTATATGTTCACGATTTACTCATCGTCGCACCGACTATGTCGCTTGTTTCCTCCATGAAATAGTCATTGAGCAATCGCTTCAAGATGCCGGACCTTGGTTGGCAAGTCGAACGAATCTCCTCCATCAACGTTGATATTCTGCCACTGTAGTCGAACCCGTTGCTACTCCGTACTACTCCGGAACAGCAAAGGGACTATCTGGGAGCTCCGGGAGATATTGTCAAACGAGCAGTCACGATATGAGCAAGCCCTGTTCAACGAAAAACGTCGCCAGGTAGACCTGGAACAGTCGATGCAAGGGCAATTCATGTCCGTGACCCAGGAACATGTCCTGGTGAACGAAGCCCGGAAATATCTGGAAAAAGGAAGGAGTGCGAACGAACACTACAGCACCGACTAGAAGAAGCGCGAGCTCTCGTGGACGCTAACACTGCTCTGCTCCGGGACGAGAAAGTCCGTCTGCGACAAGAGAAGGCGGCTTATGAATCAAATATTCATCGGGCTTACGAGGAATTGGAACCTCAAAGCACACAAATACAAGTGGAACGGAGTGTATTGGACCTACAACAACAAGCCCATCGCTTAAGAAACTTTTTCCCGGAAGCTCTCGGTGCGACATCGGTACCATCCTGCGAGAGCTCTCCCTCAACATGCTCCACGGTCCCGATGGACGCTCATATACCAGCCCCGGGATCTTATCCATCCACACCACGAACGTCGGACTTGCCGCTGATTTGCGGAGACCCGAATGATGAAACGAAATCAGGCGAAGCGATCTGCGGGAGATGTGCAATACCAGTCCTTCCGGGAACACTCATCCCCGCGAGGAGTGTTCCCGGAAGGACTGATATTGCACTCGCTGCCGTTGTCAGGGGCACGCTCTATTGGAATGTGGGCTTCCCCGGCCGGATGTTCCTGGTGGACAAGATGCCTGTTATACTTGCGGGGAACTTGGCCATTTTAGCTCGGGATGTCCGGTAACTACGGAGCGTCACTCGACGCCTCAGCACGGCCTGGATCCTCTTCAGTCCGGAGAACATTCGGAGACCAACAGAGGCAATGTGCCCGGAATGAATCACTGTCCGGGGAGCTGACAATGAGAGTTTGGCCGTCAGAGTCTAGCCACCGGAAGTGGCGAGAAACTCACAAAGCGCACGAAAATTACCTCCGACAATGACGAATGGCAACAAGAACGAAACATGGAAGAAACTCCTCCGGGACAACTTCCTGGAGCGCAACGGAAAACCCCAGAACCCCACCAGATCCTGAACCAAAGCACGATTACCAACGGGATTCAGCACCTCCCGGACATCGATTACAAGACCTTCAGCAGCGGGATTCAGCACCTCCCAGACGACGATTACAAGACCTTCAGTAGCGGGATTCAGCACCTCCCAGATGATGACAACGGGATTCAGCACCTCCCAGGCGACAATTACAAGACCTACGGGATTCAGCATCTCCCAGATGAAGACAACGGGATTCAGCACCTCCCGGACAACGATTACAAAACCTACATCCGCGTGATACAGAACATCCTGGTGGGAGCGAAGAAGATTGGTTACGCGGTTACAAGTACCAACAGCGGGATTTAATAACTCCCGGGCAACCAAGAATGAACCTTGAAGTCTCCCGGAATCCTAGTGGACCTCCGAAAGAGACCTTGGTATCCTGGACGCCTTGCCCACGGGACGAGATTTTGTCCCCCGACCCCCGAACGGCATCTGGACGATTTGTCTTCGCCGGAGCTCAGACTTAAGAAGGGGAGAATGTCACGGGGTGGGATTCGGACGTTCCGGATCTCCCGATCAGACTCCGGATCTCAGGGACCTAGATTATCTATTAGTCTACCTCTTCTCCTGAGCTAAATCTACTAAATCGACTTTACATTTTGCCTCGAAGCTCACACTTGGAGCGTGTTCTCTCTGCTTGCCTGCGCCGCGCCTGTCCGTCAAAATGTCGCTAAACCCCGTGACAAAACACAACCACGTGGAGTGAAACTAACATCACCACCACCTCGACTGACGCCATCACATCTTGGACTCACACAACCAATGCATCGATCGGTACAACTGGAACTAACACCACCATTGGGACAGCCATCATCAAAGGAATGACCCAACCATCGTTGAAGCTACCACAACTACAACTCGAACGACAACCACCAGGAAATGAACGACCACCAACTCTGGCACTAACACCACTAATGGAACGAGCACCACAGCTGTTGGACAAAGCGCCACTGCCATCACCAATCAAACGACCACCCGAGGAACACACAACATCCAGAGCACTGACGTAATTGGACTGAGTAAGGGGCGACGTGGTAGTACGTTTACGACAGCGTAAACATGCCAAACCAAGTCCAACTTTATTTTGAACTGTAGTTGACGTACGGCTGTACATGGAGCACACAAGCAACGAGGCCTTCTTCTTTGTCATCGCAATACAGCGAATTGACAAAGTCCGATAAATTTAGATCAGTAGAAACTGAATTTAGATTACAAGCAAGGGCTACTGGGCGATAACGTCCCACCTACGAACATACTCGAAACTGAAGTTAGATTACGAGCGACTCAAGCTAGCACTGATCATGCATCTCTACATCAATTCCAACGATTCTTCCACCAGTAACAACTATTCTTCCACCAGTACCCACTGATATAGCGCAGCAAGGGGTATGGGAGGGCATTGGTGAAAGTTTCAAATAGTAAGGGAACCTTGATATTGATCACAAAAAAGTTAGTGTCAACACTAGGATTTGAACTGACCCGGCTTTATCCATGAATTGCTATGCCAGATACCTTATCCGCTTGACCTATAGTAGTACGGCTGTTACAGCAGCTAGAATGTTAGTTTCTTTACAATTATAACGCACACACAGCTAATTTGCGTAAATCGTATTGGTTAAAACTTGCCACCTGTTACGTTAGCTGATTGGCTTGTTCATTTCGTTTATCCAACCCTTAGCCGTAACACCATCTTGTACAGTAAAACCGTCGTAACGTATGCGGTGCTGGGGAAGGAAAATCATGACACTTCGATATACGAAAATATTTCAAATAGGTAGTCTTTCGAATTTTGATTTGACAAGTCGTTCGGGAGATCTCGCAATAACGTTATTCAGGAGATTACTCTTCTCTGATTGGCTAATCCGTTTCTCGTCCGTGTACAACAGCAAGAAATATTTCATTTGTCGTCAATTTGTCACATCCCCGCTGTTCGATATCGATTCCCGTCTTCGTGCTTCGACCGATCTTCTTCGAAGTTCGGTCCTCGTCTTCGTAGGCAGCCCTTGTTATCCGGATTCCCAGGGTAGGGACGGATAAATCCTTGCGGAAGTAATCTGGGGAAACCTGGGATCGAACCCTCGACCTTTGAGTTAAGAAACCGATGCTCTACAACTGAGTTATTTTCTTACAGAAGGCTTATGGTAGGTATAACGAAGGTTAATTCAATTTTGTGTGGCCGTAGTAGGCATTACTGAAGAGTCACGGCCTACTGCTGCCATTCAATGTTGAGCCTCACTGATTGGGTGTGGCGGTTAACCGGAAAACCGGATATTGTTCCATGTGTTACTCCCCTGTTTTCTGGCCCTCAGGGGTGCCACTTGTGTGCAAACCAAGTCTGTTGTGGACATGCTTGCGTGCCCTCGTCGGGGTTTACGTTTCGTGGTGTATGGTAATGATCATATATTATGTCTATCCATATTCTCACGTCAAATTGTAGTCACGATTATGGATGTTGACTGTGAGGTGGCTCCACACAGCAACATTCCGCTCATCTGGTGATCATTTTGAAGCACTATTCCATGCACGGCGTGTGACGACAAGGTAGTGATCATTGGTATAAACATGTGTCACATATTCAGTTGTAGTGATCTTGACACCAATAGTGTTTGTTGACTGTGAGGTGACCCCCCACAGCTCACTAGTGCGTCTAGTAACAACGACATGCCGCTGTACACGATGATGCGAACCGGTGGGGCACTCAATGGGGAGTGAACCGGGGGTGGTCCGGGCCGGTTCATTCATATACGTGTGATGTTTCGACAACGTTATGCAACGTTATAACCATGTAAGCCGCACGTGTATATTTTCATTTCTTGCGTTTGTCGATGTATCAATATAATCCATGTAGGCCGCACACTTTGGAGTTATGAGCACTTGGCCCCCCTGTGTATGGATATTTTTCTTGTCGACTGTGAGGTGGCACCACACAGCGGCCGTTCAGGAAGCAGTAATCCATAAAGCAAACCGGTGGGACACTCGTGGGGAGTGAACCGGCGCGGCCGGTTCGTTCATATACGTGCCATGTTTCGACAACGTTATAACCATGTAAGCTTCACGTGTATATTTTTATTCGATGTATCAATATCATCTATGTAGGCCGCACACATTGGAGTTATGAGCACCTGGCTCCCCTGTGCCGAATGGCACTGTGTATGGTTATTTTTCCAGTCGACTGTGAGGTGACACCACACAGCTGTGCAGGAAGCGGTCATCCATGAAGCGAACCGGTGGGGCATTCATGGGGAGTGAACCGGGGGAGGTCCGGGCCGGTTCGTTCATGTATCAGACCGTGTGGACCACGTTATTCGACGGGGAGTTGTGACGTGTCACAATTGGTTTACTGTTTGGTATATCTTGCATGTATTGCTGTATTTATATGATTTGATGTCTGCCAGTGGAGGGGCAACCTCCTCTGGACGGCGTGGTATTGTTTATATATTGTAGCAGCGCATTGACAGCTTCCCTTTTGCCCCGTGGCGCATGACGCTTTGTGAGGAGCATCAGGTTGTCACAGTTGTGGAGGCTCCTGGTTTGCCCCAGAGGTAGATTTGGGCGTGAAAGCAGGCAGGTTGGTGCAAGATATATAAATTTGTGATTGGTGTTTACAGTTGGTTCATTTGGTCCATGCTAACTTTCGTTGCTCTGTAGGAGGCACAAACCAAGGAGGAAGCGGAGTTTCTCAAACGCAGTTTGCAGAGTCCTTTGGTGAGGATGTCGGCTATCTGGTCTTTAGTGTTGATGTATTGTAGGGTCAGCGTGCCATCGGTCACCAAGTCCGAGGAAGTGGAACCGAAGCCGGATGTGCTTGGTGCGCCCGTGTGCAGAGGTACGTTTGGCAACTTGAATGGCGCTTTGATTGTCGACCCACAGTGGTGTAGATGATGAGGCTGGTTGACCAAGTTCACGTAGGAGTTCGAGTAGCCAGACAATGCACTTTGCGGCTTCGGCTGCCGCGATGAATTCGACTTCCGTCGTGCTTTGGCCGACCAAGCTTTGCTTGCAAGACATGTAGACGGCAGCGGCACCAGCGAGCATGATGACGAAGCCGGTAATGGATTTGCTGTCGTTGTTGTCATTTGCAAAGTCAGCGTCACTTTATGCGATAGGAGTGCTAGAAATGCGCCCGTCGTAGTGCAAGCCCAAGGTTGACGTCCCAGACAGGTACTTGAGGACACGCTTGGCAAGGCGCCAATGGGTCTGCGTGTGGCCGTGATTGTGCGAGGCTAGGTATCGTACTGCGTTTGCGATGTCCGGCCTGGTCGCTGATACCTGATACTGCAGCGCTCCGACAAGGCTTTGGTACGGGACGCCGCGGGTGTCAGGCGCTTCCACAGTTGGGGCACCTTGTGCTTGGGGAGTTGGAGCCGGAGGCAGCAAGCCATGTTGAAGCGAGCAAGTAAGTCTTGAATAAAAAGGTGTTGGTGCATGTGTAGGGTACGCGCTTAGCGGTCCCGTTGAATCTTGATGCCCAGTAGAAAGTCCAGCTCGCCCTTGTCGTTTGTCGCATATTGCCCTTGGATGGATGTTTTTAGGCGCGCAAGTACCGCGGCGTCCTTCCCGGTCAGTGTTATGTCATCCACGTACACGGCAAGGTAAGCCGAAACTGCGTTGTCGGCATCGCGGAGGACGTAGATGCATTGAACCTTGTAGCATCGCTTGAAGCCGAGTGTGCAGAGAAAAACGTTGAGTTTCTTGTGCCATTGTCGCGGCGCTTGTTTGAGGCCGTACAGCGCTTTCTTCAGTAGGCAGACTTTGCCTTCCTCTCCAGGTACTTCAAAGCCTTGAGGCTGCACCATGTAGATTGTCTCATCCAATTCTCCGTTGAGAAATGCAGTGTTGATGTCCAACTGAACAGAATCCAAGTCCAGCGTTGCGATGATTGAACACAGGACCCGTAGGGAATCAAGGCGCACGACTGGAGCAAAGGTGTCAGTGAAGTCGACCCCTGCGATTTGGAGAAACCCCTTGATGACGAGGCGGGCTTTGAAGCGCTCGATCTCGCCAGTCGACAGGTACTTGACTTTCCAGACCCACTTGGACTTCAGAGCCTTGCGTCCCTTGGGTAGGTCAGTTAACACCCAAACATCGTTGGTTAATAGGGAGGCGTGTTCAGCGGCCATGGCATCTTCTCATTCTGTTCTGTGCGCGTTTGTTGCCAGGTCCGCCATGGTCAACGGCTCGATTGGGCGACGCGGCACAACGCCTGCACTGCTGCAACAGTTTCAAAGCGCTTTGGAGCCTTGATTGTACGTTTGCTTCGCTTCATAAGGGGTTCGTCTGATGCAAGCCTTGTGCTAGTAGCA